CTCTCTCTCTCTCTCTCTCTCTTCAATTCTTCTTCCTTTATTTTCATTCTCTACACACAAACATACAAGAAAGAAAGAAAGAGGTATATATAGAGAGAACTAGAATTAAAAAAAAAAAAAAGGTTGAGAACGTTTTTATTGGAGTAGTGTTACTCTATACGTTTAGAAAAAAAAGGTCATCTCTTCATTCATTCCCTAACTTCTCTAAATGAATGAAGAGAGACGAAGTGGATGCAGTAACCCACCGCCTTTTGAAGATGATTTGCAGGCGCGTGACTCTTCAACCTCCGCCTCTTCCCCACTTCTTGGCGATAGTGACAGCCGAGTTTCATTACTTAAACAATTGAATGTAATGAGGCCAGAGGTTTATCACCGATATTACTTCCCGTGTGAACGGAGAAAGATGGAACGATATGAATCTGTAGATACATATGAACCAGCAACTACAGTGTATAAGGATCATTTAGAAAATCGAAGCCAGGAACCTCGATGGTTTATTTGGGTATTTGTATTTGTTTTAGGTATGGCATCTAGTGCTATTGCGATGACGATAGTTTCTGTTTTACATATGTTGAATGGTATTCGATATGAATTATTAGGGTTTGGACTTCGAGGATTTAATTTTAGTGATTCCAATCGATACGATCCACAGATCTTGACTAATCATACAGAATTAGATATAGTGTCTATGTTTGAAGGACTTGGTGTTGGTTTATATGGAATTGAACCTCGATCCTTTTCAAAAGGATATTTAATGTGGATTTCTTTTAGTGTAGTAATGTCCTTATTATCGAGTATTATTTGTGCCCTTGTGCCGGAGAGTGCTGGATCAGGATTACCTGAAGTTATGGCTTATTTAAATGGTGTAGATTATCCAATGTTAGGCAGTATAAGAGTATTACTGGCAAAAGTGGGTTCTATTGTTTTTTCTGTAGCCAGTGGAGTTTGTACAGGACATTTTGGTACATTATTTCTCACAGGTGCAATGTTAGGAGCTCAAGCCCTTCAACGTCGTTCTTTTTTTCGTTGTGATTGTGTAAATATTATTGATTGTTTTCGTAATCCACGTGATCGTCGTATTATTGTTGTGATTGGAGCTGCAGCTGGAGTTGCCTCTGCTTTTAGTGTTTCTATTGGTGGATTATTAGTGGTGGTAGAACTTATTTCTACTATACTTCCTGTTCGTTTTGCACTTTACGTTTTTGCAGCATCTCTAGTTTCTTCTTTAACACTACAATGTTATTTTTCATTTTTTCAATATTTTACTTTACGTGATCGTCGTTTTTATCCATCCGGAGAGTTAATATCCCCCATTGTACAATTATTTACATCTAATGTGTCATTTGAAAATATAGTACGAATGCATATTTTTTATTTTATTCCTGCTATTGTGATTGGATTATTATGTGGAGTACTTGCTGGGGGATATACACGTCTAAGTTGGTTAGCACTTATATTACGTCGAAGATTAGAATTACGATTACATACAAAAATAATTCGATATATAATGCCAGTTTTATTTACATTTGTTTATGTTACTATTCATTATTGGGTTGCGGCAGCTTTTGGAAGTGGTGGTTGGTCTCCACAATCTCAACAAGAACAACAAATAAAAGAAGGAAATAATGAAAGACAACAACAAGAGAATTTTTTACCACTATTTAATAATACCAAACATGAGTTATTTGTACATCATCATCAACAACAACAACAACAGTTATTAAAAACAGAGAATCCATCTATGTATTTTATTTCTGAATTGAAAATGGATTGGCCTTGTGTGGCTATTCCATCAACTCTATTAACTACTAAAAATGTCTCTGTTATTGCGTATTATGGAGTAAATGGATTCTTTTGTAATAGTATAAAACACATGAATGATAATTATACCAAAATGTTAAGAGGAGAAAATAATCAAGCCATGACAGTATTACATTCTTATGCTTCTCTTGCATTTGCTTATGCAGATTCAGCCATTCAAACTCTTCTTAGTTGGCGTACAGAAGAAATGTTATGGGTACCCGTTCTTTGTGTGTTTTTACTGATTTACTTTATTAGTTCTGCATTATTTCTTGGAGTGGCTTTATGTAGTGATACAATTATGCCTGGATTTGTTATTGGAGCTACTATTGGTCGTTTATTTGGACTTGCTGTACTTTCTGCAGAGATGTCTTTACGTGGTGATAAAACTATTATTCGTTCCTCATGGGCAGATCCGGGATCTTTTGCTCTTATTGGGGCTGGTAGTTTTGTAGGGGGAACCACAGGATTAACATTTTCTATATGTGTTATTTTAATGGAAAGTACAGGTGATATTCAACATATACTTCCTCTTATGATGGGTATTACAATTGCAAAGAAAACAGCAGAATTATTTACACATAATATTAACGATATATTATTGGAAGCACGATGTATACCAATGTTAAACTTTGAGAATCAAATTCATAAATATCCAATGTTTGATGCTCGTCATGTTATGATTCGAAATGTTGTGATATTAGAGACTGTATGTACAATTGAACGTGTTCTTGATGTTTTACGTAGTTCTCATCATAATGGATTCCCTATTGAAAGTGTACGTGATCGAACATATAAAGGAATTATTTTACGTAAACAATTAGAAATTCTTCTTTGGCATATTTATTTTACAAATGGTTCTACTTCTATATGTACGTATGAGATTGGGAAAAAAGTAGAAGCTCGTTTATTTTATGATAAATTGCTTGGTACTTTACCTTCACTGGATATGTATTTAAGAATTCGTATTGATCTTTCTCCCTATATTGATCAATCTGGTTTCTGTATATTGGATACAACAACACTACCACGAACGTATAATATGTTTCGTACACTTGGGCTTCGTCATTTAACAGTTGTTAATCAGAAGAATCGTATTGTTGGAATTATCACACGAAAAGATCTCGTAGCCGATCGTATTATAGATGTTATTACCGCCGTAGATGAAAAACGTCGTCTTATGATGAAGGCACGATATTATGGAAACTTTCATATTACAGAAGAAAAAGAAGAAAAAGAAAAAGAGAAAGAAGAACAAGAGCAATCATTATTACCATCATCAACATCAACAACAACAATAAGAGTATCGGTAGTAGAAACAAGAAGAGAAAATGATGGTTTAAATAGATCTGAACATATACAAGAAACGCAACCACTGGATTATGATTCTTACCGTCTAGGAGAATGGATTGTGATGGAGAATCATCATGGCGATTGGGATAATGACAGAGTAATAAGAGAGGGACGAATGCATCTCAGTGAGTCTCAAGTGAATTTAATTCGATTACGAGAATCCAATGAAAGATCCACATTATTATTATTATCTGAGACAAGACATAATAGTCATGATTTACGTGAAGGCGGTTTATTAAATGAAGAAGACCAGACAACACAGGGAACTCCAATAGTAACAAATCCACAAGAGGATGACAAGAGATAATAATACGATATGAGTTGATGGATGTGAAAAAAAAAAAAAAAGAAAAGAAAAGAAATGGGCTTTTTTTTTTTGATTTTATTTTTATTTTTTTCTTCTTCTTTTCTTTTTTCTTTGCGGGGAAGGTTTCTCTTGTTTTTGTTCTTAGTTGTAAAATGAATTGTTCTCTATGTGTGTATAAATGTGTGTTGTGTCTGAGGGGTGAAATGTCCAGTGTGATGTGGGCGTCATGAGTGTTGGTGAAGGAAAGGCATCAAGTTGATTTTTTGTCTTTTCATTATTTGTAATGCCAACTCGATCTGGGGAATGATGTGAACTTGTGTATAAATGGGATATGTGTCAGAAATACTAAAAGATGAGCATCAATATATATATATAATCTTTTTTTTATAATTAATTTTCCTTTTTTTTTTTTT